TTATTAATTATGTTTTTATGATTAAAGAAAAAAAGAAAAATATATTTTTAGTTTTTGTTTTCAGTTTTGAAGATGGGTAATAATCAAATCCAAATGAAAAAAACTTAACTTTTTTTTAAATAAGATCTTAAGTGTGAGTCATGTAAATAGAAAAATAAACGTTAAAATGATGTTTTTTTTCTGAACGACTTAATTTTAAATTAATTAAAATTTAATGTGATTATTAGATACTAGTAGATTAATATATATATATATATATAATCAAATTGTCAGCTTCATATTTGATTTCAAGTTATCATTTTTAATTGGTTTCGAAATTTTTTATGATGGTACACAACCTACGACTTAAAACTTCTGCACCAAAATTTTTTTTCTCATTGGAGAACCACCCAAGTGTTTGTAGCCCCTATATCTCTAAATTAATCAACGTATAAGTGCACTACTCTATGTACCTGAAAATGGAAAATGCTGCACCAAAAACAAACACAAAAACAAATAGTAATGAACCTTACAAACCTTATAATACACAAAATTGGCTTTTATACTGCATTTTTCTGAAGGTTTTAAATTAGTAAATAGCGATTTATTTCAGCTAAACGCTTGGTCAGTTTAATCTTTTCCTTTTTATAAAAGCTTAGGTGACAAAATTAAGTTGTGGATTCTGTCTCATAGCCAGGACCTAATAATGATCATGAAAATAAGTTTGAATTTGATCAAAACATGACTTTATGAACCCAATATTCCATTTATTTTCCAATCTATTACGAGTAGAGTAGAACTTTTGTATGGAAACAAATATCAAAAGTGGCATGGGCGTACACTCAAGTTGATTAAAATAGAGATACCACAACAAAAGTAGAAGGCAACAGAACATGGATATCTATGAATAATAATCTGGCAGCAGCAAGCAAGCATAAACTGAAACAGAAGTCTATGCAAGGATTTGGTCCAGGGGCTTGGCGTCCAGTTTGGTCTTCTCTACTTCCGGCAACTGCTGCTGCTCCTTGGCCAGCTTCTTTAGCCTGGCAAGCTCCAGGTCTTTGCTCATCTTCTTCCTGTACATCTCAGAAAACGGGATCGCCTCCTCCATAATCGGCATCTCTCCCTCCCTGACTGCCAATGGATATACTGTTGCCTCAGGTGCCGGATTTTGGAATGTGGCTATGGACAACCTGCTGCAGTTTGAGTTCACCACTGCTTGGTGATCTGCATTCTTGAACCTACCATTGCTCAAATACTGCACACAAACAAACAAGAACATCCAATTCATGGATAAGTAATAAACTAACAATTATAAATTAATGGATGAAAAGGAAAATTTTTTCATTTACTTACATGGCCATGATCTCCAAGGTTGACCACAAAGGCACCTTCAACAGGTTGAACGGTGATCCAGGTCTTGCCGTCGTCCCTGGTGGCCTGGAGCCCACCCACCTGATCCTGAAGCAAGAGCGTGATGGTGCCGGGATCAGTGTGACGCTTGAGTCCCAGGGTGAGGTCGGGTTGAGGGCACTTGGGGTAGAAATTGACAACAACCTTCTGGTCCATGTCTACACAGGCCTTGGTCAAGGCTTCCTTCTCTAAGCCCATAGCCTCTGACAACACTTCCAGAAGCTTGCACGCCAGCCCCATCAACTTCTCACTGTATTGCTGCGTCACTGCCCTCCACCCCTCCGGCGTGTCCGGCCACCTTGAGTAATCCCGGGTCCTAAGTGGGTATGAGAAATATGTCACAATTTCACGCCAGTCTTGTACTGCTTCTCCCTGCAAATGATTGAAATTAATCGTCCCCTTCACTCTCCTTTTTCATTTTATCAAACATTTGATAATCGTTATTGGGAATCTGATTCTGACACCGGAGTCACACACATTTGATAATCGTTATTGGGAATCTGATTCTGACACCGGAGTCACACGAAATGCTGATTTTTTTTTTCTTCTGCTAATTTATGTAATCGAATGCCTTAATCAATCAAATGTTGTTCAGATGAATTTCTAGTTTTACAACATGAAAATTGCCAAATGGACTGTTAAAAAACAGAGATTCTACGGAGGCGTTACCTGGAGGTGGCTAGAGACGATGAAACCGCCCTTCTTACCACCGGACATGTCAAACCGGAGCTTCTCCTCCGGGGGCAAAGCGAAAAACTCTCTGGCAAGACCGGTCATCTCCGAAATCAACTGAGTATCAACCCCATGATCAACAACCTGGAATACCCCCCAATCCTCGCAAGCCTCAACAATCTCCTTGCAAATCTTGGACCTCCTGCCATCTACCTCATCGATCCCGGCCAGAGATATGACCGGGATTTCGTTGCTAAACTGGTTGTAAGCTACCTTGGGACGCTCATCCTCGTCGCGCACAAAGCTCGCACGCAGAGTTTTTTCGTCAGCAATTGCCGTGAGAGTCGTGGTTGTGGGAGCCATCGCTACACTTTTCCTTGAAAAATTGGTATTGGGAGTTGTCAGCCAAGACGGGAGAGTGAATATGACTAAGGGGTGAAGAGGGAAGGCGTATAAATATGAGACTACTTATGGTGTCAGGTCTAACTACCTCTCTCCCATGTCTCGCACGCAGCAGCCAGCTACCACTCTTGATTTGAAACTGACTGATCGAAGAAAAACCTTTCTTCCTCTCTTATTTGTTTTCCTGCAAACGACTCTGATAGCAAAACAGAGGTGAGGCGTTGAATCTGGAATTCAATTACGATTTAATTCTTTGAGTTTATGGTTGGTCAATTAAATTTAGGGTCAACGAAACGCTTTATAATTATTGTTTTTTTGGTTTTTCTCTTGAACAAAAAGGGGGTGATTTGGGGGGGTTGGGGAAGGGTGGAGGAATGTTACTACTTGGGTTCAGACTTCAGAGTTCGAACTCAAGACTTCACTGTTCTTGAATTTATGGTCGAAGCGAGTAATGTTACGTGGTCACATTTTTTTAACCAATACTAGTATAATCCTGCTTAATACGACGGTAATAAGTACTGAATAATGAATACTAATAGTGGTTAATGAATACTGATAGAGG